ATACTATTTTATTACATTTGTTGATGGTTGTAGTTATAATTCATACAATTACTAAATTTCTTATAAAATTTAAACCATTTACTTTTATGACTCTTTGATCCCATGCTTTATTTCAACTCCAAAATTAACTTAATTCACAAAGACAGAGTTGGTGAATTACAAATTTCAATGTATACTTTACTTGTCATGAATGAAAGCAGTACATATTCATAATTGTCCCCTGGAGGCTTCTTGATACAGTTAGTGTTATATTGCTATGAATAAAGGGAAATTCTTTTCCTTGAAAATAAAATTACATGCAACAATGCCTATAATTTTTAATTGAGAATTTATATTCTATTAAGCTAGTTGGTTGTGTATATATATATTTTTATTTTCAAAATATTTAATTTAATGAGTACATGTGGAATAAACAGAACTACCCAAGTCAACTGGGAAGTGTCAAGAGCTGTCAGTGAGATGATTTTATTTGGCACAGTAGTTGATGAAAAATTGAAAGGAGGAATTTATGATATAATCAGACATTTAAGATTTTTAAAGATGCAACTGTCTCATACACTTCATATGCTTTTTTTTTGAGAGAGAGAGAATTTAATATTTATTTTTTATTGGTGGACACAACATCTTTATTTTAGATTTATGTGGTGCTGAGGATCGAATCCAGTGCCCCGCGCACGCCAGGTGAGCATGCTACCGATTGAGCCACATCCCCAGCCCCTCATATGTTTTTGTTCTCAGTGACATAAGGAAATGGCAAGAACAAAGTAGAAACAGCACACAGAAAAGGCCTAAAGTTTTCATATGTTTAAGTGTTTATAGTTAAATTCTCAATGGTCCACTTACTTTCTTCAAATAACATCATCTTATAGTGCATATATGTGTCCTACTACCCCACACATATATAATTCCACATCTAATGTCCTATAATATTTACCAGTTGCCTGGTGGGAACAATAAAGAAAATAGTAGACCCAGTCTTTCCATTCAAGGAGCTGGTAATATCACTACATTTTTTGTCTTCCATCTGAAAAACAGCCAGTTTTCCCTAACACAGTCTTGATCTATTCAAAACTATTGAACAAGTCTTTGTAATTGAATTGGTAGGCTGTGAGCTGATTTAATAACTAATATCTTCACAATCAAATCGGTGGGTCTGAAACAGTGATTAAAGTGGCTTGGTATCCTGGATACCTAGAAATTCATGGCCAAGAAGAGGCTATTATTCCCTTTTGCAGTCTCCTCATACCTCATAGTGCTCCTTTACAGAAGGGGCAGAAGGAAAGAACACCACCCGACCTGTCTGACTGCACGTGCTCCATGTAGATAAATGAAAATGGGGCCACTGTTTTCCTGTGTCAGGACAATGTCAGCATGAGTAGGAATACCAACTGTCAGGCATGCAAGATCTAGTGAGTTCCTATTCCAGGGCTGCTTTCTCTGCTGGATCAGTTGGCAGCCTGCAGAGAAGCTAACATTCTGAAAGTTCATTTGTTGTTTGCAAGTCAGGGAAAACCACTGGGCATAGAAAAATAAGTTCACCTCTGCTTTAGAGGGTAATTTCATGTACATTTGAGAATGATGCTTCTCTAGAATGGAAAATTCCTGGTTTCTGGACAGAAATATATGAAAAATTGTTTGCTAACTCTATTGTGGTTTCCAAATTTTGAGAGGTAAAAAAGGACTACATGTTCTGTGATGGCAGGTCTCATCTGCCTTATTCACCCTAGTGTCTCACACATGTAGTGACATTCAGTAAATGTTTCTTGAATATATGAATAATTAAGTGAACAGTAGATTTTGAATGAAGAATTCATCTTGAAGCATTTTCCTACTTCTTTTTTTGTTAAAAGCATAGAAAATAAACAGTTGATACTGATTCTTTTAAATGCAGCCAAATTTTGTTTAGGCAACACAAACATGAAAATGTGTGCTTGAAAAACAAAATGAATTAAATGGTGATTATACTGATTTACAATTAAAAAGAAACATACCTAAATGTAGTGGGTTCTTAAATGCTAGTCCAGGGTGTCTTCTTAGGTTCATAGTGAAACAAGAATAATCAGTGCAATGTGTTGTTTATCATAAGGCTGAATTATCAATTTAAAGAACTGCCCTTTATTAAAAATATACTTTTGAGGTTGACATATTACTTTTTCTTTCATGAAATGATGGGGATGATCTACGATGTTTTTCTCATTACTGGGGATGTAACATGGAGTTACATGCCTGAACTACATACCTGGGCCTTTTTATTTATTTATTTATTTTTAAATTTTTGAGACAGGGTCTCCCTAAGTTGCCCAGGCTGTGGCTCTTGACTTGCAATCCTCCTCAGTCTCTCCAGAAGCTGAGATCACAGAATGTACCACCACACAGCACCCCCTTCATTTTCAATTTTTTTGAGATGCGCAGGGCCTTGGGCATGTGAGGCAAGTATACCACCACCAAGACACAGCCCCAATCCCTCTTTATTCTTCTTTAATGTCCTTACTTGCCAAAGTAAAATTATCAACTCTCTATTGACTCCCTAGTTTATCTTCTTTGCTTTGTAAAATTCAAATGGAGACTGGCTTTCAGATATAATCCATTTTATATAAGTATATAAATACTTCTTTTAGAAATCTACATATTGAGGGGTGGGGATGTGGCTCAAGCGGTAGCGCGCTGCCTGGCATGCGGGCGGCCCGGGTTTGATCCTCAGAACCACATACAAACAAAGATGTTGTGTGCGCCGAAAACTAAAAAATAAATATTAAAATTCTAAAAAAAAAAAAAAAAGAAATCTACATATTGAGTAAAGGACAATAGTATAACTTTGACCTTAATGCCCCATAATCCTCATCAGAGTTTGAGTGGATGCTCTATGCTGAGCATTGCTCTAAGGGCTTTTAAAATATATTCTCTCATTTAAATTTCACAGTCATCCAAGGAGAAGTTATTCGTATTGTCTCTATTTCACCTTTGAAGAACTCTGGGGACAGTCAGGTGTTTGGCCCAGAAGAAATATAACACAGCTAGTAAAGCAGTAAGGCTGAGATTCAAAACAATGGTTCTATAACATAGATTCTTATATTACAAAGAAATTGAGTTAAAAGTCAAGAGGACCAATGAAAAAAACACCATTATGATATTCTAATGATTATGCAAATAAATGTTCGATTAGCATGCATATTATAAACTCCCATCCCAGACTTATTATCTTATATACAAGTCAGAGTCCCTCCCAATTTTACATTATCAACCTATTTTTGATGACCTATTTTTAGCTTCAGTATTTACAGATATTGCCTTAAATAACATTCTCCTTAAATTCCTGTTTTGATTAGCAAATACACAGCAGGAAAAAATAAATTCCACGGGGGCATTTTTACCAAGAGGGGCTGAAAGCACCATCATAATAGTGGTGTTTTTTTCATGTCACATAGCTGAATTTCTTTATAATATAAAAAGCTTAGACATCAGGGTTCAGTTAATTTAGGGCAAATTCAACCTGATAGTCACTAATAAAAAGCACCCCTCAGTTTACTTATTAAAGTTTGCTATTAAAAAACATATCAAAAGTCCGATTTTTAAACTTAGATATTCACCCGAACAACAGCTTCTTATTTAAAATGGGAAAATCAGAAACTTTAGTAGGAACTCACACATTCTCCAGCAGACTTGAAAACCCAAGTATAGCAGCAGTTGCGCAAGCAGGTAAATCAGGAAGTAAAATGCATAATAAATGAAAGTCAAACAAACTGGACATTTTGACTATATGATGATTAAAAAAAATAAAAAATTCTTCCAAATTCACAGCAAACTGAATCCAACAGTTACTTTGGTTTTAAATATCTACCTGCTCTTGATAATGGTAAAAATGACTTATTTGGCAGGTTATAGATAGGTTTCTATCATTCTATTTAACATCATTTACCAAATATTGCACTACATTAAGGAAGCTGTCATTTTATTTCAATGGAAACAAAAATCAGATTTCAATAGTAAGCCCTGGGTTCCTCATAAAATATCAGTGAATCAAGAGGTCCTGGTGCTTCTCCAATTTAAGGAAACTCTGTAGATTAACATCTCCACCCCTCAGACCTGAGAGCTGAGGTGGAATTCTTGTCAAGAATACGAGACACTAATTTCCAACAGTGCAGGTAACTCTTCTTTCGAGTCTCTGGCTTCTGCTCAAGTGCCCATCCCTAGTCCAAGATGCCCTAGAAAAACACAGGAACCAGTTCTAGGACGTAGTGATCCATCTAGCACCCCACGCTCATTGCAGGTCTACCCTCCGCCCGCTGTAGCCCAGCCCAGTCCAGCCAATCCTGCCCACTACACAGTCTTACTCTGGCCCTGCGAACTTCCCCCGCCCACTGTCCACGTGACCAGAATCCCTCAACCCTACTTCGCGCTCCACCAATCAGCAACCATTTCTGCTCAGAACCAAGTCTTCGACGCTCCTCTTTCAAAAAAGCTTTTACTCCTTCTGCCTTCAGCCCCGCCCCTTTCCCTCCTCTCCGCCCTGTCGGCCCCTCCCACTTCCTCTCTTTCCCTCCTGCTCCCCAGTTTCGCCCCACCCAGCCCGGGGCTACGAGCTCGCCCTCTTCTCGCGAGATCTGAGCGTCCCTGCCGCGGCCGCCCGCCTCCCCTCCCGTCCTCCCACCCCCCTCCCCCCAATCTCTCCACTCTCCGGCTCTCCTCCCTCCCTCCTCCCCCCTCCACCCTCTGGGCCGGATCTCGTCTCGCTGAGGCGGAGGAGGAGAAGGAGGAGGAGGAGGACGTTCGGCCTGCGCAGTGAGATGTTTGTCCGTCGCCGTCGCCGCCGCCATCGCGGAGGAGCGCGATAAAGGGAGCCGAGCCGGGCGTGAGGGGGACCCTGCGGAGCCGCCGCGCCAGCGCAGCCCTCAGCCGAGTCCGAGTCGCCAGAGCCCGAGCCGTCGCCGCCGCCGCCGCGGCCGCCCAGGGGCCGGTCCGCTCTCCAGCCCAGCCCGGGGGCCGCGCCGCCGCCGCCGCCCCCAGCGTCGCCCCTCGCCCGCCCGCCCGCCTTAAATGTGACACCGGCGCGTCGGAGTGCGACCCGAAGCCGCCGCCGGGTAGGGGACGAGCACCATGTCGAATCTGAGCAAAGGCACGGGCAGCCGGAAGGACACCAAGATGCGGATCCGGGCCTTTCCGGTGAGTCCCTCCTCGGCGCCCGGGACCCCGGGGCCGGGGCCCCGGCCGAGAGCCGCACGCGAGGTCCGGGCTGAACTCCCCCAACAGGCCGCAGGCCCGCCTCCCCTCCCCCACGCCGCGGGGCGCGAGCCTTCCCGGCAACGGGGCTGCGCGGGGCCCGGCGCGGCCGCCCTCCCGGGCCGTTCCCCGCGCCCGGCCCCCGCCGCCCCGGGCGTCGTTGCGCGGGGCCCGCGCCACCCGGCCCTCCCTGCGTTTTTGTGGGGTGTAGGCCCGGGCCCCCGCGCTTCTCCTGCCGCCCTGCTCAAGCACTCCAGCCCTCGGGGATGGAGACCAACCGGAGTCCTCGGTGTGGGGCGTGTGTGTAACTTTTCACGTGTGGTCTAGCTGCGGCTTAAAACATGACCCAGCCTCGCTTTACGGCGACCAGGGGGGCTGTGCCCGCCTTCTCCCCCCTCCTCGGCAAGGGTTGTGCCACCAACCTGTCCCCGACGCAGTGACAGTGGTTCCACGAAATACTCAGTGGCAATATACTCATAACATGAAGCGTATTTATAGCATCTTTCATCCCACAAGCCTCCTAAGCACTTCACAAACTCTGGTTCAGGAACTGTCTCGCCACTCGAAGGAGGGCCGGCGGGAAGGAAGCGAGACCCAACAAATTGGACAATTAGTTTTCCGTTTCTTAGCCTTGGAAGCCTCAAAGAATGAGTCTACCACGCAGAGCTGCTTTACTTTTCTGCTGTCACTTTTAGCGACAACAAACGTATTCTGTTTAAAAACTTTCTCTTTTGTCATTACATGGAGTCATAACACTCTTTAGTGTATAGGGTATAACTCTGGATGTCACACTCGATTCAAACAGCCAATGGCAAGCAATTAAAATATATTGTTGTAACAGAAACTGGACGTACTTGCTCACGTCGCTACAGTAACAGGTATAAGTCAAGATAGACAAACTAGCAATCAAACAAGTTTTTGAAAGTAGAACTAGAGAAATATTTTAGTTTTGCCTTAGATTCATAAATACATTATATCAGGTGTGAAATGGCGGGTTTGTATTCACTTTTTAAAGCGTACTTTTTCTGAAGTTTAGTTGTGATGAGGAGAGTGACCCACCTTTTAATGGAATTGTCCTAATTGAGTGAATAGCTTGGTCCTAGAGAACTGAGGATCACTTTAAATTCATAAAATTTAAAACAAAAGAATATACTTTGTGAAGAATTTTGAAATTGCCTGCATATAATTACTAATTAGTGTCAATGTGTGGAAACTTCCGGCTTTATGTAGATAAGTAGGATATGTATTTTTACGTTATATTAAGGAGGGTTGGATGCTTGAAATATTTTCTGAATATTTGTGAGAAACTACATCAGAAACTGAGAAGTATTGACAAAAGAGCATTAATAAGTTCACTAGCACATTTTTCTTTGTAATTGGGCAAAGAACTGGGTTTATGAATTTGCGACCTAAATCAACTAATTCGTCCAGTTGACTATCAAGTCCATTTTCTTTTTTTTTAGCAGAAGTGAGATTATTCACAATTTTGTCAAGTCACTAGTTTTATCTAACAGGTTATGTTCATTGTCTTACACAGTTCATTCAGGTTTTTTTGCTAAAATATGGAACAATTCATATTTGACCTCAACACACTTAGGTTGTTATTATTCCCATTAATCAATTCTATCATTGTTTGTGATCAATTCTTTGATAGTTTTAGGTTTGCCTGCTCTTAACCTGTTCTCTACTCCCAGTCATTCGTTTGTTCAAGAAATACTGAGGACTGGTACCAGGCACTGATCTCGGAGTTTGGGATTTGTCAGTATACCTTGAAAGACCAAGATTTCTGCTTTCTGGAACTAGAGAAGCAGCAGGAAAGAATTTCATTATTCTTTTAGCTTAAGAGTAAAATATTTTATGATAGGTAAATACACCGTACTGGAACTAATTTTTTTTTTTCCAAGTAGCATTATGGCTGTGAGCTAGTTTGGATCCTTTTTGACTATAACTTGTTGCTCAAAGCTTTTCCAGAATTCTTAGTAAAGTCTGTAAGTAACCTGATGTTTTCATATTCAGTGTTTAATACCTGCTTGCTTTTAAATGCCCAGTAATTTTTCATTACTATTTCATAAGATCTTTGACAAGTAGTCAAGTTGCTTCAGTCTTCATTATGGATAGGTGTATGCCTTAGTGATAACAGCATTTCACTTACTTAGCCTTTGGTAAATGTATGAGCATTTACAGACCTTCAAAATCCTTTCCTTCAAGTTATCAGCCTTGTACATTACCATAGTCTGTGTGTCTTGCTAGTCAGAAGTCATAAATGTGTAGTATTCCATAAAGAAATAGATATTATTTCTGATTGTACATATATGTATGTTCAGAACTGTTGTATTTTATGTATATCATTTGGATATATAGTCATTATAATTTGTGGGAAACTGTAGTTTAACCAAAAATTTCAAGTGTTTATTTCAGATTGCCTTTTACAAAAATTGGTATGTAAAAAAGCATGAAAATGTGTTTTGTGATTGTTTTGTTTTTATTGAAGAATAGTGGTAAGTGAACTTAAAGAATATTATGTAAGACTTCTTCAGATATAGTCCCATCTAGTAAAATCAGATTCTTTTTAGTGTTTTGAGTGCATATTTTAAGTATGCCTTTTTATGTTAAGAGTTATACCACACCATAGTTTAATGCACAATTTACGTTTTTTAAGTAGAACTTTTCAAAGAGATTCTTTTTAAAATGGAAAACAATAAGGAACTTTGTGTACTTATAAATTGTTGCCAGAGGAAAGTTTATTCCAATTTTTAGGCTTTCCTGCATTGCACAAAATACCATCTCATTTCACATCTTTTTGTCAATAATATTTTACTTGTATTTTCTTTTTTTTTTTTTTTGGTTCACAAAGTAGCAGGGTCTTTCTTTCTTTCTTTCTTTCTTTTTTTTTTAATTTTTAAAGAAAGGAGGCTATCCTTAATGAAACTCTTGGACACATGGGTTTGGATCAAATAATTTCTCTCTTCCTTGCGTTTACCATGTGTCTTGTGTCTGTTTTTGTTGCACTATGTGGGATTAATTGCTCTCAGGTAAACTTTTGTCCTTATCTTTGAAAAGCCATTCCTCATCATCTCTAATGTCCAGGGTTTTGTCTGTGTAAGCTTGTTAAGCATGACTGAAATTGGAGGGGAAATAATTTGTGAATGCTGTCCTCTTCTTTGCCTTTCCTGGCTTTTAGCCTTCAGAGTTTAGGAGACCTATTGTAAAAGTGACCTTCTCTAATATATGATCTGAAATCTACCTGAAATAACTTTAGTTATTGGTTTATGAAGCATACTACATCAAGGGAAGATAGATTTTCTGGATGTAGTGTTCACTCCATAATTCTAGATGAATTCTGCCTGTGTAGCATGGATCACAAGTGATGTACAGAGGTGAAACCCACATAGTTACTGACACTAGAGAATGAGATGAGTTTTAAGATCGTTTTTGATGTACTTAAGAGCACAGAGATAAGGACAAATAGGGAGAGTTGATGATTTTTCCTTTTCCTTTCCCAGATTGGGGAAACAACTTTGATCTTCATAATAGTTTTCGCTTTCTTAAGGAAGATAATTATTGCATAGAAGTACTTGAAATGTATATGTGGGAATTGAGTAATAGCTTTGCAAATCACATAGAGTTGGAATTTAGCCATAAATTTGTTTTTCATTCTTTGTACTTTTCTTTCTTTCTTTTTTTTTTTTTTTAAATATTTATTTATTTTTCGGTGGACACAACATCTTTGTTTGTATGTGGTGCTAAGGATCGAACCCGGGCCACACGCATGCCAGGCGAGCGCGCTACCACTTGAGCCACATCCCCAGCCCCATTCTTTGTATTTTTCTTACAGAAATTATGGAGTAAGGTGTAATTTGTGAAAGTGTTGCTTACACTTAGACTGATTCTCTTTCTGTTTAGTAAGTTTTGGGATAGCCATCTGTGTTATAGGCATTAGTTCCTTTTGGGAATCAGAAGTTAGAAAAATCAAAAGCATGAAGTTGTTATCAATAAAGTGTTTATTTTGGTAACATTTCAGAGAAATTTGGAAAATGGTTAGTACCAATGTTGAATTTCAAACTATTAGTAGTTTTGGACATAATGTGAAAATACGATCTTTTGTACAGTGATTACAACATTGATTCATACAATATAAAGTGTTATTTGTTTGCATGTCATTTATTCATTAAATATAGTTAAGTAGGAACAACATTGTCTAGTTAGGAAGATTATATGATTAAGACTTGAAGAAGTAGTATGCCTTCTCTTTGTGTTACAAATTGGGAGACCTTGGAGGTAATATTTTGTTATTTTCATTCCAGATTGTATGGATGATCTTCAGCAGTTTTGTTAGATTTATATATCAGTTACTGGATGATTTGCAGTTTTATATAATGCAACTTTTCAAAATAATTCATGTTTATCCATTGTAAAGTCATCCAAAAAGTAAAGGTGTTACCAGAGAAAACTAAGAGATAAAATATGAATTGCAGTTATTATCAGTAATGGTGAAAACTCTTGAATCATAAGGCTGTCAAAGGAAAGAATTCACTTATAAGCTAAAAAAAAAAAAAAGGAAAAAAAATTTGTAATCCTATCACTTGGAAATAAATTATATTAACATTTTGATGTTTCTTTTAATCTTTAATATGCATGTGTGAAGAAGTAAAATTGACATTTTAAAATATTTTTGAAAACATGATCTTTAATGGCTTTTTGATTACTTTGCAATACCTGAATTTGCTTACCCATTCCTCTACTGCTAAGTATTTTGATTGATTCTAGGGAGTCCTTATTTTCTCTTGCATACAGAACACAGCTGTGACATTATCCTGTTGTTTGAGCCCATTTATGATTATGAAATTATTGAGCTTAAAGTAGTTGCTATAAATTCTCTAATCCATGTTCAGAAAGAGAATTAATATCTAAAACTTATTGAATGCTTATCATGTGCCAGACAC